GTCCCAGCATAGAAAAAGCATTTAGAATTCAGAGTGGATCTATATCTTAATGGCACGTAGTATAAATTGATTTAAATAGATACAGGTTCGGCATTAATCTGGTGCTTTGAGAGTTTTTTTTGTTTGGATACAGACAGAATCCCAACTACTTGCTAAATTACTTTGAGGCAGGTATAAAACCAAAGTCCTGACCACTTGTGACTATTAAAAATTCTGAGGAATTTCCCCAAAGGATGGAAATGTTAGCCCAAGTGTCCTGATTATGTTTCAGTTTAGATAAATGCCTTTGACCTACCTGAATTCCATGTCCCTTTCAGCTATGAACTGATCTTTACTTCCCATTCTCTGCAGTGTGGTTTTGTGTTGATATGTACTATTCAACAGTTCCTATATTTCATTCCAATGGAGGCTGTCCTGCAGTGGTGGCATAGTGGAGTGTGTGGGTTTGGGAGGGAGGGGTGTATTGAAGTAAGTGCAAGATCTTTTTGCATGTTGTTAATTTCAACAATAGTAGTCCTGAAATTGGGTCGTAATTAGACACATAAGCCGTTCTTATTTGCTCATTGCCATGTCGCTAAGTTGGCTTCCTCCCAAATGTGGATCTTGAGTACCAGCGTCCCCCACAGAAACAATTGCCAGTCGTGGAACAAAATTTTCTGTTGGAAGTGGGTGAATGAGAGAGGGTCTACCAATAGCAGTCAGCAACCATCAGCTGTGTACACTTTCACTAGTGCTTGGTTGTTCCAGTTGTCTCTATCAAGAAGTTTCTGATTCAAGACGCAATCCTGTTGATGTTTTGAGGTTCAGGAACTTAATCCTGTAAGTGAATGAAGTACATGTTCAGAAATTACAGCCAAAGTCTTTTGGTGCTAAAGTGATTTCATGTGTTTCAGCTGAGTTGGGTAACAGCCACTTGCTGGACATCATATACCACATGACATAGCCAACTTTGTAGGAGGGGAAAATGCATGAAATGGAACTTCAATGGGATTTTTAGTAGGAAGCATGAAGGGGCATATTTAACAAATATTAATGTTATAGCATCATATTTACTATAAACTCTCACTTTTGTGGACATAAGTGTAGATGTACTACATCTTCCATAATTAAGGCAGTGAGTTTGTCACGGAGGTCACGGATTCCATAACTTTCCATGACCTCCGTGACTTCTTTTAGCGGCCATTGCGCCTGGCCTGGTGGCAGCTCAGGCAGCCCCTGCATCAGTCTCACCAGCTGCTGCTAGGGCAGTCCCGAGCCACCGCACCCCTGTTCCCCAGCAGCAGGAGTTTGGGTGTGGAAAGGGGCAGGCGGTTGGGGCATGGGATGGGGTGAGGTGGGCTCTGGGTGGTGCTCTACCTGGAGGGCTCCCCGGAAGCGATGACATCCCCCTCACTCAGGTCCTAGGCGGAGGTGAGGCCAGGCAGCTCTGCGCACTGCCCCCGCCTGCAGGCACTGACCCCACAGCTCCCATTGGCCGCGGTTCCCTACCAATGAGAGCTGTGAAGCCAGCACTCTGGGTGGAGGCAGTGTGCAGAGCTGCCTGGCCATGCCTGTACCTAGGAGCTGAGTGAGGGGGATCTTGCCGCTTCCGGGGAGTCGCGGAGCCAGGTAGGGAGCCTGCTGGACTTGCCAACACTCTCCCCCCAGCACCAGCAGGGGTCCCGGGCTGCGCGCCACTGCTCCCCCCACCAAAGCACCCGTGGCACCCCCGGGCTGGCGCCCCCCCTGAAGATTTAGTCAGGGGTGTATAGTAGAAGTCATGGACAGGTCACGGGCTGTGAATTTTTGTTTACTGCCTGTGACCTTTTACTAAAAATACCTGTGACTAATATGTAGCCTTATCCATATGCTCCATGACTAGGGAGTTTACTTTCAATCTCCGAATTCTTCCACTACTGGATGGTGCAAAATGTTCGGGCAGGGCAATAGTCACAAGAACACTCCCTACTCAGGTAGCATAAGGAAATAGACCTGACAGTGTGCTAATGTCTGAAAAAGAACCAAGTGAAGTGGGAAGGGAAAGTGAAACAGGAAGT